GGCCTTCTTCGACGACACCGCCACGCTCGTCTGACGCCGCTAGGCCAGCTATCTGGTCCAGGGGAGGCGCGCCGCTCTTTACCGGCCTGCTTCTTCGATGTTGCCCGCAAGCTGTTCGACGGTTTGCCCAAAGGTACAAATGGACTCCGCCGACGAGTTCTTTTTTCACAATTTCATTTGCGGCTCGGATGATTCTTCATCGGATGATGAGGAGATTGTGGTTGCTGTGTTGGTCGTCCATGACCACCTCAGTAGGAAGTGGCCGTTGTTCCGGGGCTCGATCCCGGGGCACACTCCGGCATTGAATCGCAACCGAGAGAGCGGTCATTTCTTTCTCTGGAAGGACTATTTCGAGACACCTAACCCGCTCTTCAAACATCACCTATCCCGACGCCATTGATACGTCCATTTTGCATCATGCTTTTATATCAATATTTATTGCATTATGGGCTGTTATTACACATTATGTCACAATACTTATGGCTATTCTCTCTTATTTTACAAGGTTTATCATGAAGAGGGAGAATGCCGGCAGCTGGGATTCTGGCTGGAAAAGGAGCAAATATTGGAAACCTATTCTGCACAGCTCCAAAAGTCCTGAAACTCCACGAAAGTTATTTTTGGAATTAATAAGAATTATTGAGCAAAGAAAGTACCAAAGGGGGGCCACACCCTGGCCACGAGGGTGGGGGACGCCCCCCCCCACCCCTACTGGGCGCGCCCCCTGTCTCGTGGGCCCCCTGTTGGCCCTCCGGTGCCCATCTTCTGCTATATGAAGTCTCTTACCCTGGAAAAAATCATAAGCAAGCTTACGGGACGAAACTTCGCCGCCATGAGGCGGAACCTTGGCGGAACCAATCTAGGGCTCCGGTGGAGCTGTTCTGCCGGGGAAACTTCCCTCCGGGAGGGGGAAATCATCATCATCATCATCACCAACGATCCTCTCATCGGGAGGGGGTCAATCTCCATCAACATCTTCACCAGCACCATCTCCTCTCAAACCCTAGTTCATCTCTTGTATCCTATCTTGTATCCAAAAACACAAATTGGTACCTGTGGGTTGCTAGTAGTGTTGATTACTCCTTGTAGTTGATGCTAATTGGTTTACTTGGTGGAAGATCATATGTTCAGATCCTTAATGCATATTAATACTCCTCTGATCATGAACATGAATATGCTTTCTGAGTAGTTAAGTTTGTTCCTGAGGACATGGGTGAAGTCTTGCTATTAGTAGTCATGTGAATTTGGTATTCGTTCAATATTTTGATGAGATGTATGTTGTCTCTCCTCTAGTGGTGTTATGTAAACATCGACTACATGACATTTCACCATTATTTGGGCCTAGAGGAAGGCATTGGGAAGTAATATGTAGATGATGGGTTGCTAGAGTGACAGAAGCTTAAACCCTAGTTTATGCGTTGCTTCGTAAGGGGCTGATTTGGATCCACTAGTTTCATGCTATTGTTAGGTTTAGCTTAATACTTCTTTTGTAGTTGCGGATGCTTACAATTGGGGTTAATCATAAGTGGGATGCTTGTCCAAGAAACGGTAGTACCCAAGCACCGGTCCACCCACATATCAAATTATCAAAGTAACGAACGTGAATCGTACGAGCGTGATGAAACTAGCTTGACGATAATTCTCATGTGTCCTCAGGAGCGTTTTTCTCATTATAAGAAATTGTCCAGGCTTGTCCTTTGCTACAAAAAGGATTGGGCCACCTTGCTGCACCTTATTTACTTTCATTGCTTGTTACCCGTTACAAATTATCTTATCACAAAACTATTTGTTACATACAATTTCAATGCTTGGAGAGAATACCTTACTGAAAACCGCTTGTCATTTCCTTCTGCTCCTCGTTGGGTTCGACACACTTACTTATCGAAAGGACTACGATAGATCCCCTACACTTGTGGGTCATCATCCATTTTCGTATGGCTAGGCATGTTTTCAACTGTATCCAGGTGAGGGTGGTGGCATATGATAAGCATCTCGAGTGCAAGGAGGGTGCCCTTGTAAAGATTGGTTTCTCCTCTTATCAGAAATGCACTGTAGCTATTTGGATGCTTGCATACGGAGTTCCTGGTGATCTCATTGATGAGTATGTCCCTATGAGTGATTCCACATGCCTAAATTCCATGTATAGTTTCTGCAAGGTTGTGATAGCGGTGTTTGGCCCCGAGTACTTGAGAGAGCCAAATGCTACAGATACAGTCCGCTTGTTGGCGATGAATGTCAGCAGAGGCTTTTCGGGGATGTTTGGTAGCATAGATTGTATGCACTGGAAGGAACTGCCCTTCTGCTTGGCAAGGGAAGTATCACTACAAGAAATATGTCAACTTGTGACCACCACTATTGGTCACTGAAAGGTCACAAATTTCCATTTACGACCTTTTTGTGACCAAAAACAGAAGGTCAAAAGCTGGCCGTCGTAAACTAACTATAGCGACCTTTCTTCTGGAATGGTCAAAGACGTTTATGACCAAAATATTCCTACTATGGCGTTTTGGTCACTAGCAACCTCCCCAAGCCATGTAGGCATCCAGCGTGGCAAGCTGATATGGCACAAGATTCAGCCCGGTCCAATTCGGTTTTCTACATGGGCCGAGCCCATTAATTCAGCCTTTCTATATTTTTTTCGCTGCTAATTTTGGTGAACTACATGGGCCAAGCCCTACAATTCGGCCTTTTTATTTTCTAGGCCAAGGCCTTTTTGTACCAGCAGTTTTAGTTTTCTTTCTTTTTATAAAATGGGTCCATTAGTCAAACAAGTCCCACTTGTCAGGTTCTGATAAATGGGTCCCAGCTATTAGGCTCAGATTCTTCATATTTCAATTTGACATCAGATTTGAATTTCATAGTAAGAAAACAACCAGTATTTAAATAGGAAAGCAGAAAACACACATAATAATTCAAATAACAATAGCCAGATTCACTACAAGCTCTACAAATGACACGTAATACAAGCTCAACATATACAATGCTTTACAAGCTCTACAAATGCAAAGCTCTACTGTACTTTACAAGCTCTCCAAGTAATGTTACAAGCTCTACAAGTGTTTTCTTCGTCAACATGGAGCTCCTTCGATAGAGATCAAATGCCGGACTCACTGGACTGGGCTAACAGAACGACTGCATGCCCTCCATGATCGCCCTGTTACATGAATCAGCTAAGAAGAATTAGAAAAACTGGAGTAAAATGGAGTAAAGGACAATTCATTATAGAATGATAAACACACAAAGCTCTATCCATAGTACCAGCAATGAATAACAAGAACAACTCCAGATTATTAGCTGATTCATTATAGAATAATATAGAACAAGCTCCTAGTTTGGAGTGAACAGTGGATAAAATCATGCAACAGCAATGGAACAATCATGCACACAGTATAATAAAATGGATAGAACAATAAAATGGATATAACAATAACAAGAACAACTCCAGATTACACACAAAGCTCTATCCATAGTACCAGCAATGGATAAAATCATGCACACAGTATAATTCTGACTAGAATATAACCAGAGAACTAAAGATTCTACATACTTTGAACTCATCAACTAATAAGTGAGAATGATCTAATTGTATGCAAACAATCTTTTTTTATTTCTTTATATTACTAAAATAGACATCTTCCTTTATGTGAAGTCTGCTTCCTTCTTTAGTTAGTAGTAATCGTTCCATGCAAATCAACCGTGTGTGTATGCTTGAGCATGGTCTGGAGATTACATGCATAGAGGAACAAAATCCTAAACAAAATAGCATCAAATAGCGGTGGGTGCTCAACCTATTTACCATACACTAGCAACACTTAAACCATAGCATGTGCATATACTTGTGTCACATTAGGGGGTTCACAATGTACACAGTATATTCTAATAAAAAGGATTGGGAGCAGAGGGAGAGGGAGGTGGATATGGACATGCTACATGCTGCTGCGGTGGTGCCTCTTGGTGGTCGTGCTTGAGCTCCTCCTGATGCTGCGTGAATCCAAGTGGCTCTCAAGCAAAATCTCCAGCGAAACTACAATGCAACATATAGTAAGTAACAGCAATGCCTGCGATGTCTGCAATGAACTTTTGAGCAGCTACAACAACCAGCCTTGTTCCGCAGACCACAAAATTAGGAAATAGATTTAAAAACATGTCATTCATGTGGACCAATAATCACTGAGTTGGAGGG